GGCTCCTGGCCGTCCTCTTCATCCTCCTCTTCCTCGGCCGGCCGCTCCAACGGGGTCCCCGGGGACGGCGGGACGTCGCCTAGGGAGGGACAAAGGAGCAAAAGTGGGGGGTAGCAATCAGGCTGAGTGTCACCTGGCATCTCCATCGTCCCGGCCCCCTTTGTCCTCTGACCCCGACCTCCCCCATCTCCCATCCATCCATCTGTCCTTCCTTCCTTCCTTGCCATCCCACCCACCCATCCGCCAGGCCGGCCCCGGACCTCGTTCCCTGCCTGCCGGGGGTGGGGGGGGTCCCTGACCCGTCTCCCTCGCCACGCTGGCCCTCCACGGCTCACCCCACCACTCCTCCTCTGGCTCCGCCTCCTCTGCCCCTCCCCCCTGCTCCGAGGCGGCGGCGGTGGCGGCTGGGCCCCTGGGGGACTCGGGGCCAGGCAGCCCCAGGGCCAGCAGGCGGGCGGCCTTCTCGCTCCACTCCCGGGCGATGAGGGCCTTCACAGGCCCGCTGAGGCGCGTGGAGCCCGGGTGGTGCTGGCGGATGTGCCGCTGGATGGTGCTCATCTTGAGCGAGGCCAGCGCGCCCCCGCACACCATGCACACCAGGCCGCGCCGGCAGCCGTCCAGCTCCACGAGGTACTCCAGCCGCCAGCGCTCCTGGTAGTGGCGGCGCGGGCGGCCCCCAGGCGACCGGCCCGGGACCCCTGCCCTCTCGCCCTCGCCCTCCTCCTCCTCCTCTGCGGACCCGGGCCCCTCAGGGACCCAGCCAGCCTCTTCCTTTACGTCTGGGGGGCTGAGGTCCTGAGAGGAGGGGGCGCCAGCATTGGGGGCGGAGTCCCGGCTCTTTCTGGTCAGGTCCTGGGGGATGAGGTCACCGTCTGTTGGGGAAGGGGTGGAGAGGGGCTCAGCCCGCTGACGGGGTTGCCCTTACCCACGTAGGGGGAGGAGGGGGACATCCATCCTTGCTCCACACCCCAGCCCCAAACTAGCAGCCCCAGCCATAGTGTGCGTGTGTGTGCACGTGCAGGAGTGGAAGGTGAGCAGGCCTTGAGCACTCAACCAGGAGTCCCTGCCTTGCCTCCCAGGGTGGCAGAGACCACGCGCTGCAGCCCTTAGGTGGGGGGATCTCAGCCCTGGGAAGAGAGCCTCGCACCTGGTGGGGCCTGGGTGAGCTCGGACAGCGCCTCAGGCTGGTCACCCCAGGCCTGCAGCAAGGCACTGCGCTGGGGGCCACTGAGCCCCAGGGAGCTGGGGTGCACCTCCAGCACGTGGGCACGGATGTCGTCCAGGTGCAGGCTGGGCAGTGCCTGGCCACAGGCCATGCACACCAGCCGGTTCCCCCGCGGGTCATAATCCATGAGACACTCAGCGCGGAACCAGTTCTGCAGGGACTCCTTCAGCCTCCGCTCCAGGCGCCGGGCCCCCAGCCCCCTGCTGCCCCCAGCCCTTCGGGAGGCTGAGAGGCGCCGGCGCCAGGGTGCCACTGGGCCCCCTCGCACCCCTCGATGCTGGCGCCGGCAGCCCCCACCAGCTGAGGCTTTGCCTGAAAGGGTTGGAGGGAAGCAACTAAGGTGCTGGGCCCTGTGGGCAGCCCCACGTCACGGCCAGGCTCTCCACAGCCTCGCCCTTGACCTTTGCCCTTCTCTTCTCCCCTCACATCTTCTAGCACACAGTCTAAGTCTACCCAGGCTCAGATTCAGGAAAGCTGCCAGCCATCCTTCAAGCCCTCAGATCCCCACACCAGCCCCAGCTCCTCCATGCCTATGGCTGCTATCAAGGATGCTGGAGACCACCCCCAGCCAACCCCTCCCCCCCACACACACACCCACAACCAGACAAGAAGGCAATTAACAGACCCCACTGGAAGGAGCAGTGACATCCTCCAGAAAACCATCATCTAAGGGGGCTGAAAGCTTTGCTGGCCCCAGCCTCCCCACTGCGCCCCCGAACCAACCCCTGCCTCTGGCCTGCCCTGCATTACCTGGGGCCTTGGGCGGGCATGCTTGGAGGCTGCCTGCCTCCTCCTCCTCCTCCTCTTCCTCTTCTTCCTCCTCAGCCCCCTGGGCCCCTAGGCCCTCAGCCTCGCCACAGGCCCCCAGCCCCAGGTGGGCATCCCAGCTGTTGCTGATGACTTCCTTCTCCCGGGGACTCCAGTGCAGGGAATAGGGGTGCTTCTGGCGAATGTGCCGCTTGATAGTGCTGAGCTTGAGGGTGGCCAGGGAGCTGCCGCACACCATGCACACCATGCCGTGCCGGGCGGGGTTGAAATCCATCAGGTACTCCAGCCGCCAGTGGTCATGGTAGTAGCGCCGGTGATCACGGCCAGGGATGCGGCTCTTTCCAGGCCTGGAGGCCCGGGCCTCACAATGGTCTGAGTATTTCCTGCCTGAAGATGCTGGTCCCCTGGCCCTGGGAGAGGGGAGGGGGTTACTCCCCCAGGACCCCAAGGCACCCCCTTCCAGCTGAAGATCTTGTCCTGAAGAAGGGGAAAGGGAGACAGTTGTTCAATCTCCTGTGTCCAGGGAAAAGAACCTGGGGCTTTGATTTGGAAGCATGAGAAAGCTAAGTGAAAGGATGCATGGCAGCGAGGGAAGGGCGGTGAAAAGGGATGTGGGAAAAGCAGGGAGTCAAAGCGCTCTTTACCAAGAGCAAGGACCCAGTGAGAAAGGCTCAAGAACAAAAGGACACAGGACGCTGAATGGACTAGCTGTGACTTTTGAGAAATAAGGTGAGGGCCAAGGAGGCCGCCAGCTCTGCAAGGTGCCCTTTTTGGATGAAAGCGGTAGGGATAAAGCCAGGCGAGCAGCAGCAGGCTGGGGCGGTTACAACCAGAGCAGAACAGGCAGTGGGGTGAGAGGAACAAAGGGGGCATCTGTCTGCAGCCAGAGCTGGGCCCAGGATCCACCCACCTGGGGCTCAAGCCAGGAAGGCCCCCACCCAAAGGTCTTCTCTCTTTTCCAATAATGCTTCAAATACATACTGAGGGTCTATTTTGAAGGTAGGGTATGCAGTTAGTTCCCCCAAATAAAGGTCCCCCACTAGAGGGACCCTCAAGAAGAAGCTGTCACCACCTCCAGGGAAAAGGAGTTTCTGAGACCTAGCCTTCCCCAGAATCTGGGAGGGTCAGTGACCCTGAAAAGGGATGGCAAGGGGCTGGCCCCGGAACATACAGCATCAGGGAGCAGTTACCACCTACAGGAGCCGGTGAAGTCTTTCTGGGCATTTATTCTCTGCTGTGGCAGGGAGCAGACTGCTGCCCGGCGATCAGAAGGGCGGGCACACTGGAGGAGCCCTTTGGCCATCCCTTTGTCACACAGACACCCACCCTCCCTACAGTTCTGAGCAAATGGCCAGGAGACCTGGCCATAGAGACGGAACTGGCACATTTTGGCCATCCTCCTAGTAGAGAATCCCAGGGTCAGGCAAACAAAAGGCAGGATCTGAGAGGGCTCCCGGTGACATTGGTGGAGTTTTGCTTGTTTGCTTTAGTTTTCTTTTCCTTCTGTTATAAGGAGATCCATGGGTGAGGGAGTGCTGGCTTCACTGATGACTTGCTCTGTGACCTTTGGTAGGTCACGTCTGCTCTCTGGGCCTGAGAGTCTTTGTCTGGTAAGGCACAGGGTAGCTAGTGGGGGTCTCTCTAAGCATCCTTCCAGCGCTGAAATTAGGCTTGTCTAAGGCAGACTGGCCCTTTAAGAGCCGAAAAAAAAAAGGGAGGAGGAGGAGCTGAGATTTTTTTAAAAACAAAAGGGGATGGGGAGTTTCTGGGAAGAGATCCCGGAGAGGTGCAGGCAGGTCTCCCGGACCCCGGACAGGACCTTTCCAGGGTCTTAAGGCGTGGACCCTACAAGCAGGCACATGATGAAAGCCTCTGATTTCGGTGCCAAGGAAGCCTAGCTGGTCCCGTGAACAGCTGACAAATTGGGGTCCAAATAAATCCTGAGAAAGGGACGAGAAGGCACCCGGCAGGCGCGAGGAGGCGTCCGCCTTTGTGGGCAAACCCATCCCTTATTTAAAACCTGCCCGCGGTAGGGGATGGGGGTAGTAGTGGCCCCCGGGAGTGGGGGGGGAGAGAGAGAGGGAGAGGGAGAGAGAGAGAGAGAGAGCGCTATCCTCTTCCCTAGGGAAAACGTGGGGAAGAGTTCCTGTCTTCCACCAGGCCACGACAAGGGGCAGCCCGCCCGAGACCAGCGGGATGCCGAAATCCACTGGGGGGGGGACCCCGAGGGGAAGGGGCTGGGGGTCAGCGCGGCCCTTCAGAAGACGGCTGGATAAGAAAGACCACCAGGGTGTCTGGAAGAGAAGGGGCGGCGGCGGGGGTGGGGGCGCAAGTCCAATCGCCCCGAACCCCGTGGCGCTGGCGCGGGGCCCCACCACCGGGGCCCCCCAAACCCGGACGCCCGCCGTGGGGCCCTTTAAGCGGACGAGGATCCGCCC